ACAGTCCAGACACACTGACTGGACACTCCAGTACATTGATAGTGCTGTGATTACAAGCTGTATTAAGTCTGATTATTCTGTAATTATAATGTTTGCAGTATTTGTACTGTATGACTGTACAATGGCTGTATGTTGTAATGGTCTTGGCAATCCTTTTTGAATAGTCATGCCAATAAAGTATCTTCTAATGTGAAACAGAAAGAGAGAGACAGACTGTCAGACACCCCATGGGAGACAGACAGAGAGAGAGAGACAGGTGAGCGGGGCTGAGGAAGAAGGAGAGGGGAGCGAGAGAGAGGAGAGAGAAGGGAGAGAGGGAAGGAGAGAGGGGCTCAGAGGAGGGATAGAGGGAAGCAGAGAGGGGGAGACAGGAGGGTGATGGGGTGGGATATTGGGGCCGAGAGAGGGGGTGAGAGGAGGGAGAGAGGAGGAAGAGGGAAGGAGGGATGAAGAGAGGAAGGAGAGAGGAGTGAGAGAGTGAGGTAGAGAGCGAGAGGGATAGGAGGAGAGAGTGAGGGAGCGAGTGGGGGAGAGAGGGAGAGGAGGAGAGAGAGGAGAGAGAGGGAGGGATAGCGAGTGGGGGAGAGGGAGAGGGAGAGGAGGAGAGAGCGAGTGGGGGAGAGAGAGGGGATGATACAAAATCAGTCGGTCACGGTCTGAGCACTTACACATGCTGTTTACATTTCTGCTAAATTAGCGCGGCCCCACAGCCAGGCAATCGCTCTCCTTCCCCTCTGCTCTTTTTCCGATCCCTCGTTCATTTTCAAAAGCAGCGACAGATTGAACGAATTGAGGGCTCTTGTTTTTTTTAGCATTTCTTGGATTGAATTAAAATCTGGAGAGCTGTGTGTCTGTGTTTCACGAGAGCCGTTCCTGAGAGAGGAGAGAGGTAGCGAGAGGTCGTCGAATCCACAGTCACAGGCATAAACAAAGTCTCAGTTCAGAGTCTTCCTCTGCTGTCCTCTCCCTTCTTCTCACTCTCTGTGCTGTCTGTCTGTCAAACCGTGTGTCAGACTGACTGCCTGTGTGCCTGTCTGACTGTCTGTATGTCTGACTGTCTGTCTGTTTGTGTGCCTGTCTGATTGCCTGTGTGTACTCTGACTGCCTGTGTGTCTGACTGTCTGACTGCCTGTGTGTCTGTCTGACTGACTTCCTGTGTGTCTCTCTGACTGCCTGTGTATCTTTCTGACTGTGTGTCTGACTGTCTGTCTAACTGCCTGTGT